GAGAGAGAGAGAGAGAGAGAGAGAGAGAGAGAGAGAGAGAGAGAGAGAGAGAGATCAAAAAGAAAACTGTGTTTGCAGAAATCATTCTTGGCAGGCCAAAGCTATTATTTAATTTCTTGATTCTCTGCTATAATTGGAACTCTTTCAATTGTACCATTATAGGCACTAATCTTGCATAGAAGTTTACTGCATGAATGTAGATTATTCATTTCCATAATTTACAACAAAAGGCATTGACAATTCAGAAATGTTATTCTATATTCTACCCAAACAAGCAAATATTAAAAGAAAAATCAATCTTCATACCGTATTTCCATATCTGCAGTTCTATAGTCTCCAAACCAGATGTAGAATCTATGCTTTTACAGAGAGTCTGAAAAGAACTCTCAGCATTGCACAGTACTGGAAGATGAACTGCTAGCAACATCTGGATAAATCAGTCCTGCTCCAGGCCTCCACCCTCTTCCCCGAACTCCCCACTAACACTCTCCACTAAAACAAGCACTGTACATTGGGAATCCAGAGTTGGAAAATAACTCATCTTGCTTATTTGTCTTCAATCACCCATGATATAAATCACCATGTGACCCATAAAGTTCGATGGAAAATGATAGTGGAGAATATTTGTAGTTCAGGACTGAAATGAGGGGTCCTTGGTGCTCGGTGAGCTTGGCTGTTTTCTTACAGAAGTTTCATTACCTAAACTAGGTAACATCATCAGTGCGAGGGCAGGATCCACCACCAGTGAAAAGTATAAATCCCCAGGTACGAATAAGACTCACAAAACCAACACCATCGTAATGTTTACAATGTTATTGCATTTACAATGTTATTGCATTACACTTCTGGCTACTTGACCGCTAAAAATTGATACAGAAAAGAATAGCGAAAATGATCAAGAACTTTGGAAAACTCTCCTATGAGGTTTTCAAGTTTGGGATTTTTATTTGTTTGTTTAGAGCAAATGTGAGAGATGTAGAAAACACTTTCAAAAGAGTAACACATTTTTCCAATAAGAAATAAATTCATTTTTATTTGGAATCAATGTGACATTGCAATATTAAAATATTTTATAAATAAACCATTTCAAAATTACTATTCAGGATTTGAAGAAAAAACATCTGATAAAATGCAATTTCACATACAAAGGCCACAGACCTGGGAATATTTTTAGGCACATGAATCTGTCAAGAGGTTTGTTTATATTCTGCTATCTTTTAAAAAGAGTATGCTATTATTTTCTTTATAAACTCTATTGATTCCAGTTAATAGTCTGCCAAGCTGTAAGGCTGACAATCTGGTTTTCAAAGAAACATTGCAGGATACATTTCTGAAGAGATGAAATCCAATAGTCTCTGAGGAAAACTAAGGTAGGAAAGGCTTTTAGAATAATAATGCTGAACACCTATCACGTATTGCTGAGCAAGCATGCTCTGCATGGTGCTACAACATCATCTAGGAGATTCCTTTAAAATTAACGCAATAGTTATTGCCATGGTAAGATGCTATGCATATTTACTAGGAAAACAGCAAGTTCAAGGAATTGGGTGTAGCAATTAGAGTACGGACAATCCTTAATGCTTCCATACATTTATTTGAAATATTTATATCCTCTGTATCTATCAGAAGGAAAGATGCTTATATATTTCACTTGCCACTTTTGATAGAGTTTTAAAGCAACCAACAAATTATCACAGCAGAAGTACAGCTTGATATTACATCAGATTTATTAATCTGTGTAAAATTCATTGCACTATGCATCATAAAATTCATTTAATTCTTTTATTAATATAATATGCAAATCAGAGTCCTGATTTAAAAGAAAAGCATATAGATGTGATTTATAGTTCCCGTAATCTATGGTTAATATTTTTGTGTAGATTTGTTCCAACTGTATGAGCAACAACCTTGTTTATAAATGCCATGATACTCATTTAAAATAGTTCTCTGTTTACTCCAAGGACAACAATCAGGTAAATTGAAGAACCCAGATTGGGACATTCCCATTAAATTAACACATTCTGTGTTATAAAATATCTTTATTATATACCTATATCATCTATTTTATGCAGAAACAGGACAAAACTAAAAAAAATTGGAAATACAGATGAGCATATGTTTCCATAGTCTTTTAGTATCAGAGTAATTTCAATGAACAGTAAAATGAAAAAGTTAAAAAATGCAATTTTTGATAAAAATAAACATGTCTAAATAAGGCAAAACATTATTCCCAGAAGTAAACAACTGTATATAACTATTATTTAAATCTGCAGTAAAGAAATTAATTCTGAAAACAAAACTAATTTCCAGTGTTTTGCATTAGAACATTTATTTTTCCATTTCTATGTCAAATGTGTTTGTAAAAAAGAATCAGCTTCAGTTTTTTCTCCTTTTATTATATTCAGTTATTTGCATAATTATTTTAAGGTGTACTTTGCCAGTTTCTCTATATCATTTCAAGCTTATTTTTTCTCTCAAGAGGTGCAGAATCTCATTGGAGTGACAATATCCAAACTCTGTTACCTATTTAATTTTTTGCCACTATGCGTGGAAAAAATGATATTAAGACATATAGCTTGCACCTTGAAGCATCTTTTAAAAATGCATTCTCACAAAAAGGATAGTTGTTAACGTGTCCTAAAAGTGAACAAAATTACATATCCAACACTGTTCCGTGAACAGTCGTTGGCAAAAATCCCATACTGGGATAGATTGTATCTACATTCTCAAAATGAATGCATTTTTAATAAATATATTTACCATCCTAGGAAAAAAGTGGTTAGTCTTTTCTGGAAGCAAATTAAAGGAAATGTTCAAGGTATAATACTGTGAGCAATGCAGCTTCATCACAATGTTGTGGTCTTTAGATTAACTGAATTCTCTTCCGTATACTCTATTCTATTTTGATGTTTCAGTGGTTTTATATTTTTAATTCTGTAAAAAAGAAAATGGGGAAAAAAACATTCTCATTACATAGCCTCCAGAATAATTTAAGCATATTTCAACTTCATTTTTAAGAAATATGGTTGTTCTTTAATATGCAGTAAATGTGTCTAGATGCCTAGCTTCAAACCAACCAGTGCACAAAGTCATAAATGACAAAATGTGCATTATGAGGTCAGAAAGATAGCCATCCTTATCATATTTATGCTGCAACACTTTGTTCAAGTACATAAGGAGTAAAATTGGACTGTGGTGTAATTTCATTAAACTCTATTTTCACCCCTCTATGGAAATCTATGGTTGTGTCACTTGGGAAACTTACTGTAGTTTCAGTGGTGGGATTCAAATTTTTTTACTACTGGTTCTATGGGCATGGCTTGATGGGTGTGGCTTGGCTGGTGTGGCAGCGGAAGAATACTGTAAATCTTCATTTCCACCCTGCTCCAGGGCAAGGATACTGTAACCATTTCCATCCCACTAACCTGCTTTTCAGCTCCATTCTCCTGTGCAGGGCAACAGAAGAAGTCCCAGCTGATTAGCTGGGACTCCGATCAGCTGGGACTCGGGAGGCAGCAAATAGATGGGGGCCAGTCAGAGGTGGTACTGAGTGGTACTAATTACTGAAAATGTTGTGAAATTGTTGCACAGCTTTAATTTAACAGTACTGTGATTTGGTCTCAAAAAGTTAGAAAGGGGACAATTGGAATTTCTCTGTTCCTCAGGAATTTAATAATAATTTCTTAAATGTTAATAATTTATAATTTACTAAACTTGTATGCTGCTAACTCTCAATGATTCCATGAATTTAGACTCAAATATTTCTTCCATTATATTATTCTTCTTGCAATTCTTTTAAGTATCCTAATATTACAATATTCTAGTATTTTCTGTAATAAATTTTAAATGCTTTTCCAAAACGATCTGCTGCAATACTAGCTGGGATATCTGCTTATTTCCATTCTGCAACATCCTTACCCTTTAACTCTTAGCATCTGTTCAATAGTGTCTGGGAGAGGAGTGCCATAACTTTCCGGGAGAAACAGGGTCAGGATTCCAGCAAGCACTGTTAAACTTCCCATTAAGCTGTAGGGAAGAAATCTATCATAAGCACCTAGTAGAAAGGACAAGTAGTAATAGGTTATTCATGTTCAGATTGCTTAACAATTTACATTTCCTAATATTGTGACTTTGAGGTATTGTTTATATTTATAGATTTGTTTGGATCTGATCTGGAAGATGAACATGACTTCCTCAAAATGAAGATCAGAAATGAGGATCAGCTTCTGCATCTCTATACATCTTTCCTAGCAGCAACATGTTATAAGCGTGTACATCAGAACCAGTAAGCATTTGCTGTAATACTAAAAAGCAGGACATATGATCTTGAATTAGGAGAAAATAGGCAACTTACCAAGATAAACAAAATAAGGCGAGAGAATGCTGCCAATTCTGGAGGCCATTGAACTGGCTCCAACTCCCATGTTTCTCACAATAGTTGGGTACAGCTCAGCAGTGTATACATAAACCATTGAGAAGGAGGCTGTGATCCCAAATTTTCCAATCATCACGAAGATGATGGTCAGAACATAGAGGTCTATAAGCAAGAGCCAAACAAAATGAAATTAAAGCTGCCAGTAAAATAATAAAACAATTGCCTGCCTTTTTATTCTTCTTCATTTATAGATAATCCTCACTTACCAAGTGCCTCATTCAGCAATGGTTCAAAATTAAGATGGTGCTGCTGTCCCTAAGTAACCCAATCGCCACAATCACATGAATGCCATTACAGTCAGCACACATTGCCTTGTGCCTGACGCTGTTTTTCTTTTTCCTGTTCACTGCAGAGCAGAGTGTGGAGAGAAAAGGATTACAAGAGAGTAAGCTGGCACACACTGAGGAAAATACTGGCTGTTTGCTGAGCATGCTCACTTGTTGCCAGTGCCATCACATTGCTTTCAATGTGTATTCTCCTCTGTGAGTCTGCTTACTCTCTTATAATCTCTTTTTCTCCAATGAATGTAAATACAAACATTAATTCCCTTATTGCTAATTAGCCCAGTGCCCAAGTAAGCATTCCAAAGGGCAGGGAAGTGATTAGGAGCCTGATTAGTTTTAAGCTAGAAACTGATTAGTTTTGAGCCAGCCATCTCAGTGCTGTGGGTGGAGGGGGGGGGGGAAGAAAGCATATTCAGTCATATGACTTTCCACTTAATGGTCATTTAGCTTAGTAATGGAGTTATCAGTCCCAATTGGTGACAGTTAATGAGGAATGTCTGTATTTTATTATAACTATGATATATTAACTATTTTGTTCTGCTTTAGGCAAGAACCTACTTTACAAGATACATCTACTGAATTAGATTTCCTATTTTTTTTTCTAATTGTGAACTGGTATATCAAATGAAAAACTAATATATTAGTGTTTAATTGTCATTACAGTAAAGAACAAATAAATCAAAAATCAGAATTACAGCACATCTTTTTTATATCACTAGAGCAGGAGTGTCAAACTCGCGGCCTGCGGGCCAGATGCGTCATGCACTGGCCACCCCAACCCCCATTTTAGCAAAGGGAGAAAAAGTTACGATACATCATGTGACAACAATTTGTCGTCCCGAGTTTGATACCCTGCAATAAGAGAAACAAAATGAACACAAAATGAAATAGATCGGCAACATATCTCTGTGTATCATAGCATTATTATGGAATATTGCTTTAAAAAAAAAAAACCAAGTTGGCTATCCCCATAGATTATAGCTATAAAGTGTCAAGGAAAGCAGTCTTACGTGCAGGCACGAACTGAATGAAAAGAAGAACACAGCCTCCTAAGAACAAGACTCCTGCCATTGAATACCGCCGCGGCAGATACTGAAGGAGCAGCCAAGAGATAGTATAAGCTGGGATTTCAATTACTGCTGAAAGGAAACAATTGAGGTAGATGTCTCCATGCAAGTTAGGGGTATCCAGAGAGAGGCCAAAGTAGCCTATGGAAATCACCATCCTGAAAGACAGATCTAAGTGATAATAAACATATAGAGGCAATGACACTATTCTGCATGGAACTTGAACTATGACATAGAGGTAGACTTTGCAATTAGTGGGCACTTATGATTGTTGCAGTGTCCTATGGCCACATAAGTTATTCTTGCGCACTTCACAGTCAGCTTCCAAAAAACAGAGTCAATGGAGAAGCAAGCAATGAAATTGCAAGTCATGTCCACATGATGTCTTACCAACCATAAGTAATTTGCTTAATGATCACGGGGGAAGAGAGTTTGTAAGTCTGTTGTGGATATGTGATGTTTTGCTAATGACTGCATCACTTAGTGATGGAATTGTCAGTCCCAATTGTGGCTGTTAAGTGAGAACTACCTGCATCTCTACTAGAGTGTTGAAATGACAGAATATTTATTATGTTGCACACACTACAAGGCAATTTTCCATTTATGCACTTGTATGTTTTACTTTGGACTATTGATACCATTTTTTATAAGTGGCAAAACAATTGTTAGTAAATTTCATAGAGCAAATATTAAAATTTCTTTCCAGGACCGCACACCATTCATACAGAATAGGAAAGCACCTTTCTCCCTTTGTCATGCATAAAATCCAAGGTGAGCACACAACAGAGTATTGGACATGTATAACTTTTGAGAAGAGATAACATAAATTGGTTGGTGTGTGTGTGTGTGAGAGAGAGAGAATATAAATCATTCTTTATTACAATCATAAATCAGCATAAATAACTAAACAGTAATTACACATCCATAAGATCCTTGAAGATCCATATCTTCAAGAAATCCTTAGCCTAAATGTCAGCTGAGGTATAAAATGGAAGGTTGTGGGCATTAAATGAACAACAGAAAAAGGTGATTTCTAGAGGCCAGCCACATTTACAATTTACATGCTGAAATAGTGCAACTGTAAAAATAGCAGAATGAGTTTTAGTGTTCTTTCAAGTTCCAAGTCATTCAGAATACCCATAATTAGCTAATCAAGACAGCCTTATATAATAATTTGCATGTGGAGAATTTAAACTTGCTCCTGGAAACAGTTCAACTACTAGGAAATCATTTGAGACTGACATAGTCATATTAGGCAAAGAGATATGAAATCTCTAGAGCGGATGATTTTGAAAGCTAATTTTCAAAAGCAATGGTACTTGGGCTAATAAAACTTAAGATTTAGACTGATATATAGATTTCCATGAGCAAGTCTATGAAGTGCCCCATGCCTTTATTTATCTGCAAGTAAATAAAGTAATTCCAAAACATTGACTTCTTGAAATATGGTTTCTGGACTTTGGAAATGTGAGGATTTTCGAGGAATCAATTTATCAGTTGCTTACCATAGAATCACACACATGATTGTGATTGTTCGTATATTTTGGGTTCTTACTAGGTCCAAAATGCTGCAGGACTGCTGAACTTGGCAATTCAACTCTTGCAGCTATATAAAATAATACATGCATATGAGAATCAAGAAACACATGTTGGCTTATAAGCAGATAACCTGCAAACATTACTTATTTGAAAAATACAGTATGTTAAGTAAACTGCTGCAAAATTATAACAAATGGCATCGAATAATTTTCACATAAGAAGTACCTATTTTAGAATCATGTCCCAGTATCCTGTTATAGAATCAATAACCAATTTCATGAAAAGGGTCTAGAAGGCTTTGGACTTATAGGACAGAGTATTTTAATTCATGTTATTTTTCTCCAAGCACAGGAGCGTAGCAATAAATTATTCACAGATTCAATACACATGGTTACCTCATCAAGATCAAATATTACTTCTGGGGCTACAACATGGTTCTTTTTTGCAGCCTTACGAATGATATCTTCTGCTTCTTGAATTCTTCCTTGAGAGAGTAGCCAGCGAGGAGATTCTGGAATATACCTGAAGTATTTTAATACAACATTAATAGAATAACTAGAATTGCAAATCTTCACGATACACATATTACCAAATATTTTTCCCACATTACCAGTCAAATACTATTTCAGGAAAAAATATGTCCATTAAGAAAGCCTGCAGTCAGCTATGAATGCTTTAGTTAAAAATGCATAGACTCTCACATCAGAACTCCATCTTCAGGCTGCTCTGCTGCTGAAGGAGGCTGAGGCTGGATCAAGGTGTCCTGGAAGGAAACTAGTATTTTTCATCAGCAACTGCATTAAGTCCTCTTCTGAGTGATTGTTTTATGCCACATAGAAGAAGAAGATTCTGAGAGAGTTACACAGCTCCAACTAGCTCACTGAAGGATTGCCTCTTCTATCCAGCTACAGGGCTCTGTACCACTGGGGCTATTTCTGTTTTGACTGCCAGGGAAAACTGATTAACTGGGCATCCAGGAAGTTTTCCTACAATGTCAATGTTCCTTTTTCTGGTCCAAAAATTACTGAAAGGACTGGCTGTTCTTAATGGAGACATGAAAATGACTCCCCATACAGAGTGGGCAAGAACAACAACAAAAGTAAAGAAACAGGAGCGCAAGTAACATAGCATTACTTGCTCTTATTTTTAAATATGATGTGATGGAAATGTTACATTTATGAGTTTGGAGAAAAAAACGAGTTCTCTGATAAAAGGCTAATATAATAATAGAAACTCTGACCAGGCCTGTCGGGGTGCTCCTCCAATGCATTGGCTCTGATTGAGGGAATTAGCTGCATTCAAGCATTTGAGATGGGGTGGCTAAATATATTTAAACTTGTTCTAGAAATAAAATAACTATGGATTATCTGGGGCAGGGGAGCAAGACTCTAGAAATATTTGATAGTTGATGTATCTTCTCCAATATTTAAGAGTACAGTGGCACCATCTTGTGGTGTAATATTTTATATGCTTTTAACAAATTGTCTGCACAGTTCTTTAATGGCAGAATTGTTACACAATACTTTTTTTCTGTTTTTCTTTTAATTCTGTTTTTTGGAATTAACTTTAAACCCAGAAGAATGATTTGATTGAAGATCCTGATAAATAAACATTATTACAATGTATCTTCCTACATCAGACCACTGCCAAATAATAAACAAATCAAGATATAAAACCATAGAACTGCAAGAGATCTCAAAAGGTCATCCAAATGTGTATTCACATAATTAGCTACAACCTACAATGCATTAACAACATAGCTTGGTTTCTTTTTAGACTATTTGGGAATGTGGACACATTTGGTTAGTTTCCAATTCATTATATACGTATTCTTCAACATTTAATTAAAGGCCCACACGACTGCTTTGCTCAATGACCATAATCCTTGCTCTCTCAGTTGTTGTCATTAAGCAATCACATGGGTTGTTAAGCACATGGAGTGAAAGAACTGTCAGCTGAAAGAGGGTAGGCAGCTTGCCTCCACAAGGGGAAGGGAACATCTGTGGTGGGACAGAGAAATAAAGCTCAGATCCCAAAGATTTGAGCTTCTTTTGTCCAGCCTACCACAGGCCTTCCCCTCTATGTGCTAGCCTTTCTACTCTTTTGAAACATCGCATTCGCTAGCTTTCTAGCCAGACACATAATGAGAGATGGCACTCTTATTGTGATTATTATGAAAGGTAAACCTGCGCGATTATAATTCACCTGCGCATGTGCGAGAAACGGAATGGCGGCCAGGGCTCCTTCGTCGCAGAAGACCTGACGGAAAAAGCTTCGGGAGCCCGTGGAANCTTGGAGAATAGTTTGACTCCCTCTTCTTTGTGGCAACCCCTGAGATATTGGAACAATTGCTATCATGTCTCCCCTAGTCCTTCTTTTCATAACCAGTTCCTGCAACCGTTCTTCATATGTTTTAGCCTGGTGTGCAGCATATTTCCAGAAATGAAACGTAACATGGAAGTGATCAAGCTTGGCCTTTTCATACCGGATGCCATCTTGGAATCTCTGTTGTTAGCTGGTGTTTTGGTCTGATGGTCAAAAGTCCTAAATGAAAAGTAAATATTTAACTACTCGTCCAAGGACAGCCGGCCATCCCCCTTATTCGAACCTAAGATTAGATGGCTAGAAAACAACTGTCCGGGATGTCACAGGTCTTGGCCTGCAGTTTGGATGGAGTTTAGTAAAAAAAAATAATCAGAAATTCAGTATATGGTGAGGAAAGCTTGTTACCTCTTCTTGGATGTAGTCTGATAATACATAATGTACTTTCTTTGACTTGGGATTATTGCATTGTGAGAAACCAATACCTCTGGGCTTTCAACCCCAAATTTCTGGTTTAGTATGATATTACAGCTTTATCAGCAAACCATGGCTAATCTGGTTTAGCACATGTGCCTTCTGACATGTTAGTGTGGGTAATGCTTCCCCCTGCCCGAGGGTATGTGTTCCTAAGACATTCATTCACGTTAAGAATAAACTATCATTGTAACCTTACTTGAAGTTTAAATCAGTGTTCTGGCTTATTTTCCAGCATTGACTCTATATCAGGGGTGAAATTCTGGAGAACCGGTAGCAGAAAATTTGAATAGTTCGGAGAATGAGCAAATACCACCTCTGTCTGGGCCCAGAAGTGGGGAGGGAATGGGGATTTTGCAATATCCTTTCCCCAGGAGTGGGGTGGGAATGGAGATTTTGTAGTATCCTTTTCCTGGAGTGGGAATGGAGATTTTGCAATATCCTTCTCCTGGAGTGGGAATAGAGATTTTGCAGTATCCTTCCCCTGGAGTAGGAATGGGGATTTTGCATTATCCTTTCCCCAGGAGTAGGATGGGAATGGGGATTTTGCAGTATCCTTCCCCTGGAGTGGGGAGGGAATGGGGATTTTGCAGTATCCTTCCCCAGGAGTAGGGTGGGAATGGGGATTTTGCAGTATCCTTCCCCTGGAGTGGGGTGGGACTGGAGATTTTGTAGTATCCTTTTCCTGGAGTGGGAATGGAGATTTTGCAGTATCCTTCCCCTGGAGTGGGGAGGGAATGGGGATTTTGCAGTATCCTTCCC